GCAGGAATTAGGGCAGAGCTGCCGGCTGCCGGTCTCCCCTTACTAGCACTTCTTTTTGACATTTTCTCTCGTGTTTTTCTAATGTCACAATGAGCTAGAATTTGAGCTGTTTCTATTGTCCCCGAAGACTTCGGGTTGCCCTGTGGGGACACAAAACCTGAAATCCAGTCTGGGCTTTGGGGAAGCAGAGCCATGGTGTGTTTGTCATTTTTAGCAGTCACTGGGGTGTCTAGCATTGTCTGATTGGCTGCTGGAATTAGCCATTAAACAGAGCTCTCAGTCACTGAACACTGAGGGCCTCGTTGAACTCAGCTGGGTGGGAGATCTTCCAGGGTGCCCTCTGCTCTGAACTAAGACAGAAGGGCAGCGATGGGGCCGGTAGCTGTGATGGCCCCTGATGAAAGAACCCTCCCTGCTGTCCTCTGTCAGGGCGCTGTTATCACTGCTGTCCTGTCCGGTCTGCTCACTAACCGGCGGAAGAGACAGTCGGGAGAGACCGTGAGCTCCCATTCCATGGTCAGCCCTCCCCAGGGACTTGAAGCCTTCTGCTACACAGCAGAATTTGTTCCGTACACTGAGAGCAGAAATAAGAAAAGGGCAATTCTGGACATGAACTTAGCCCTGTCCCTGATTATAGTGTCTGGGTTTGTAACATTTTCTTCTTTGTTTATTTGGGGATGTTTTGTTTTGAATTACATTTTATTTTGTCAGGGAAGAGGTGCATGCCACAGCACATATCTGGAGGTCAGAGGACAAGTTTTGGGAGCTAGTTCTCTCATCTTACGAGTTCCTTGGAGAGAACACAGGCCATCAGGTTTGGTGGCAAGCATCTTTACCCACTGCACCTGCCCTGGTTATTGTTCTTTTGAGACAGAGTCTTAGGACTCCTGGCCTGGCCTCTCAAGTTCTGGGATTTCAGGTGGGGACCGCATCCTGGTCACTTATCATTTCCTTTTTTTTTTTTTTTGAACCTATTTCTCTGTGTAGACCAGAACTCACAGAGACCCACCAGCCTCTGCCTCCCAAGCACTGGGATTAAAGGCGTGCGCCACCACCTGACTCACTCGTGTTTTCTTTTTTTTTTTTTTTTTTATATATTTTTATTTATTTATTATACATACAATATTTTTTCTGCGTGTATGCCTGCATGCCAGAAGAGGGCACCAGACCTCATTACAGATGGTTGTGAGCCACTATGTGGTTGCTGGGAATTGAACTCAGGGCCTTTGGAAGAGCAGGCAATGCTCTTAACCTCTGAGCCATCTCTCCAGCCCCTCACTCGTGTTTTCTTAAGGATAATTCTAAAATACTTCAGACTCATTGAAAAAAAACCAGCATTTTTATTCGTGCTTTAAAAAAGTATTTTTAGCCGGGCGGTGGTGGCTCACGCCTTTAATCCCAGCACTCGGGAGGCAGAGGCAGGCGGATCTCTGGGAGTTCGAGGCCAGCCTGGTCTACAAGAGCTAGTTCCGGGATGGGCATCAATGCTACAGAGAAACCCTGTCTCGAAAAACCAAAAAAAAAAAAAAAAAAGTATTTTTAAACATGTATTTGTGTGCTGAATGGTGCTCATGTGAAGGTCAGAGGCTAACTTTCAGGAGTCAGTTCCTACCAAGAGTCCCAGGACCAAACTCAGATTATTGCATTTGGATTTAATTATGGCGTGTGTGCTTGTGTGTGTGCAGTGCTTCAGAGGCCAGAAGAGCACATTGGACCCCTGGAGCTGGAGTTAGAAGGAGCTACCCCGTGTGGGTGCTGGGAACTGAACTCATGTCCTCTGTAACAGCAATAAGCACTTTTTTTTTTGGTTTCTCCGTAGCTTTTGGAGCCTGTCCTGGAACTAGCTCTTGTAGACCAGGCTGGCCTCGAACTCACAGAGATCCGCATGCCTCTGCCTACTGAGTGCTGAGATTAAAGGCATGTGCCACTACCGCCTGGCGCAATAAGCACTCTTTTTTTTTTTAAATATTTATTTATTTATTATGTATACAATATTCTGTGTGTCTGCCTGCAGGCCAGAAGAGAGCATCAAATCTCATTTCAGATGGTTGTGAGCTACCATGTGGTTGCTGGGAATTGAACTCAGGACCTTTGGAAGAGCAGGCAATGCTCTTAACCACTGAGCCATCTCTCCAGCCCGCAATAAGCACTCTTAACACTGAGCCATTTCTCCAGACTCCTCCCCTACAAAATAGTTCTTAAATCACTATTTTCATTGCTCTGGATTTTGATTTATGCCTCTCCACAGAAGCCCCTTCCACTGTTGTCTTAAATATCACCCATGACTATGGCAGGACACATTGAATGTCACAAAAAGACCCATATCATAGACTTGAAAGCAAGCAGTAACAAGGCTTGAGAAGACCGTGTGTTATAGTTTATCATGTTCGTTTCCCACAGAAAAAGAGGTTCAGAGACACCCAGCATCCCTGCAGTTATCAACTCTTGTGGCTGCTCAAAAGCTTGCATTTACACCAAAAGGAAAGTGGGACATGGTGACTCATGTTTAGTCTTAGGTCTACAGAGTGCCAGGCCAGCCAGGGCTGCATATGAAAATCTGCCTCAAAGTACAGAGAGATAGACAGAAGGGAGGGAGGGAGGAAGGGGGAGGGAGGGAGGAAAGGAAGGAGGGAGGGAGGGAGGGAAGAAGCAGGAGCTGTACATAGTGTTGCACACCTGGAATTCCAGAACTTAGGAGGTGGATGCAGGAGAGTGAGAAAGTCCAGCCTCGGGTCCTACCTCAAAACAAATAAAAAAATTAAGTAGGGGCTGGAGAGATGGCCCAGCTATTAAGAGCTGGGGTCAGATCCCAGCATACACACACATACGGTGGCTCACAACCACTGCTCACTCCAGTAGCAGAGGATCTAACACCCTCTTTTGGCCTCGGTGGCACCAGGCATGTACATGATACACATACATACATGAAGGCAAAACACCAACTACAGAAAATTTTAAAAGGGCATGGTGGTGCACGCCTTTAATCCCAACACTCAGCAGGCAGAGGCAGGCAGATCTCTGGGAATTTGAGCCCAGTCTGGTCTACACAGCAAGTTCCAGGACAGCCAGAGCTACATAATAGAGATCCTGTCTCAATAATAGCAATGATGATGATTAAATAAAATAAGTTTTAAAAATCTACATAAATAAAGTTAAAAAAAATCAACAAGCCAGGCATTGGTGGCGCACACGTGTAATCTAGCACTCTCGAGTTCGGGCCATCCTTGTCTACACGGCAAGTTCCAGGACAGCCAGGGCTACAGAGAAACCCTGTCTCAAAAAAATAAAATAAACCAAGTGAAAAGTAAAGCACCAAGTACAGTGTGCCTTCGTCAGGAGCCCTCCCCAGTGCTGCCCTCCCCAGTGCTCACCCAGGGAGACATAGCAGGAGTCAGCAGTCACAGGTGACTGACTGCAACCTGGGCACTTCTGTCCAGGAGGTCCGGTCATCTTAGAAGCTAGCTCCTCCATATGTCACAGACCAGCTGCCAGGACTCTGTCACCAGGTTTCGGCTGCTATTGAAAGCCTCAGGGATAGCCGTGTGAATGTAGTATTCGTATGCTTGGCGCCCGCACACCCTCAACAGACACACAGCCCTCAAATAAGATTACCTGACTGCCGAGCCCCAGAATACTTTCTCCTTTGCTCTTTTCTACCAAATGTGAGGTGTGTGGAGAAAAGCAAGTTCATAAGGAATCTTAGCTCATTTTTACCGTTGACCCCTTGAAAACCTCAAAAGTCTGTGGGTTGACCATGTCCTTGTAACTACAATTCCCTGCCCGGTTCATTTGTCAGCTAAGTGATCCAGTGTTGTGCTGTATCTTGAGTCATTAGTTAAATCTTAGATTTTTAGACCGGGTCTTATAACCTAGGTTGGTCTCAAATTCCTGGCAGTCCTCCTGCTTCAGCCTCCTGAGTGCTAGGATTGGCTTTATTTAACTCTTTCATTGTTTAAAAGCAAAGACTTTTCTGCCCCTGGGGGTGTAACTTGTTAAGAATAGGCTGAGTGTGCATGGGTGCTCACTCCCCACGTAGTCTTGAGTGTCTTCTCTGGCTAGCTCATGGGTCCCACATCCTTGGTGGTGTTTAGGCCTAACAGGCGCCTTAGTAGAAACTGCTTGATTTGGTAACAAGACCAGTTGGATCACATTATTGGCAGTGCATCCCAGGGCAGATGTTCCCATTCAAATCCGTGAAACTGCCAGCATTACAAGCCAGCAGTCAAGGCACTGAGTGACAGTGAAGTTTTGTTGCGGGTTTACTATGTCAGACTTTAAGCTCAGCTATAAAATAGACTGATGCTAGCCGGGCGGTAGTGGCGCACGCCTTTAATCCCAGCACTCGGGAGGCAGAGGCAGGCGGATCTCTGTGAGTTCGAGACCAGCCTGGTCTACAGAGCTAGTTCCAGGACAGGCTCCAAAGCCACAGAGAAACCCTGTCTCGAAAAACCAAAAAAAAAAAAAAAAAAAAAAAAAACAAATATAGATTTCACATTTAAACACTGCCCTTGACTCAGGTCCTAATTCTTCCTCAATGTGCTCTTTAGTGTCTTTAGCAAACCACAGCTCTGCTCCTTTAAATGTCACACTCAGTACCTCTTGCCTAAGGAGATGGCACCTCCAGGTGCTCAGAAGATATTTTTGGTGTGTTATAAGAAAATGTGTAGTCTGTGGCCATACCACCCCCCCCCCCCCCCCGAACGCGCTGATCTCTGAAGCTAAGCAGGGTCAGAGGCCTAGTCAGTACTTGGATGAGAATACCCCACGTTATAGGCTTAAAAAAGAAAGGAAGAAAGGAAATAGTACATGTATTAGCTGACAGGGCATGGACAGTTAGAACTCTGGGCAACTCCCGCCCTGAGAGGCCTGCCTTTCCTTGACCCCTACATGCCCTGGGCATGAAGGGCTGTCACTGAGGCTGTATAAAAAGCTGTGTTTGAAGCCAGGCTGTCCTCTGGAGAGCAAAGTGAAAAGATGGCCTCATTCTTTCTCCATTGCAGGTTGTGTCTGCGATGAGCACCTGGGCTTGGCTCCGTTTCCCTACACCGCTGATAAGGATGTGCTCGGGGAACTGGGGACTCGGGCTTCAGGAGAAGCCAGCACTGCTCTTCCCAGGAATGGCTGCTGCTGCGGTGCAGGTGGCAGGCAGGAAGGACTATCCTGCTCTGCTTCCCCTGAATGAGAGTGAGCTTGAAGAACAGTTTGTGAAAGGCCATGGTCCAGGGGGCCAGGCCACCAACAAAACCAGCAACTGTGTAGTGCTCAAACATGTGCCCTCCGGCATTGTGGTCAAGGTAGAGAGTGGAGGGGACGGGTAGATGAGAGGAGTCCAGGTCTGCAGCCACAGCAGGTTTCAGTAAGGGGCATGCCCATTCGGGAACTGGCATGCTCTGCCAACCCAGTATAATCAGGGCACTGCAGATGTACCCAAACTCTGAGCTGTCTGTCCCTCTGGAAATGAACCTCCTGCCCAGTCTCAGGAGCCAGAGCTCTGCCGCTGTTCTTGAATTCAGCTGTGTGTCACCAGCAAGGGATGCTGTGGTTAAGTCTGCTGCCCCCAAAGCTACCTCTGGTCGGCGCATGGAACTGATGGACTATGCTTATGGCTAGCTATCTCAGTCCTCAGTTTGTAGGGTAGCTCTCCATGTCCCTCTGCCCTGCTTTGCAAACATCTCCAACACTTGCCCTTCCTAGGAAAAGATGAGGTGGAGGGGAAGCAGAGGCAAAGCGCTCTTCACAGCTGCCAGTGTAAACCTTCCTTAAAGAAGGCGGTCTCTGGTCAAGGGCAGCACAGCCCCTAACAAACCACAGGTGTAGCAAGTGGCCGAGTGCCTTTTAGCCCAGAGTGCAGCAGCCGCACTGCCTCTGAAATAGGAGTGAGGCCAGCAGAGCCGCCAGCCAGCCACAGCCACTGCCGTGCGTGTGTCCATCACTAGAGGGCCCCAGAGCCGCACACAGCCCTGAAAGAGCATGCAGGCAGAGCAGATTTTCCCAGGCACAGCCAGTCTACCAGCAGGTATTTCACCACTAGGGGCAGGCACTGTGTGTTAGCTCTGAGGCCTGAAAACAGTACTTACTGCCTGACCAGACAAGGAACTTGCTCACCCACAGTCCTTCAAGGGGAGTCCAGATTCACAGTAGCTGCTTCATGGCCAGTTTCTGGGGCCAAGAAGACAGAAATTAAAACCCTCATTCATAACAAAACCCCAAAAGCATTTTTTGTTGCACTTGCCACTAGCTTCATTTTCCTTTTGGAAATCTCCTCTCATGCCACAGCACTTCCTTTGCCCCTCAACTCTGCTAGGCCCTGGCCGCCATCACTTTCACATAAACCGAATGTTGTGGCAAGCTGTTATCCAGACGGATACACGGTTGTGAATGGCATGCGAATTTTCCACAGGGGTCGCTCCCTGACCACAAGCTAGAGACTCCAGTCAATGCTTCCATTATTACTTGGAAACTGCTTAAATTAATTAAAGGTATTGTTGGGGGTGAAAAAGATGGCTCAGTGGTTAAGAGCACTGGCCTGCTCTTCCAGAAGACCCAGGTTTGATTTCCAGTACCCACATGGCTGACTCAAGAGGCTCATGCCTTTGCCCTCCTGGCCTTTCCCTCTGTGAGGAAAGAGTGGATTGAGGAACCAGGGCTTCTGAGGTCCTGCCCGTCTCCCCACACCCATGGTTTTCACATTCCTGCCGTGGTCTCTTGCAGTGCCACCAAACACGATCAGTGGATCAGAACAGAAAGATAGCTCGGAAAATCCTCCAGGAAAAAGTGGATGTCTTCTACAATGGCGAAAACAGCCGTGTCCACAAAGAAAAGCTGGAGGCTGAGAGGAAAAAGCAAGCAAGGAAGAAAAGAGCAAAGGAGACCCTAGAAAAAAAGAAGTTGTTGAAAGAACTATGGGAAGCAAGTCAACACGTCCCTGAGGAAAGGACTGGTGCTGACGCTGTACCAGGGGGCTTTCGGGAATAACGGTGGTAATGCCTGGCACCGGTGTTGGCGCATCTAAAGAAAATGTCCTGGAGGCGGGAGTGGTGGTGCACACTGCGGTCTCGGCACTCGGGAGGGCCAGGGCTTGGGCAGAAGCACTTGTCCCACAAGTGAGTTTGATTCTCAAAATCCACATAAGGGTGGAAGGTCAGAACTGACTCCAGAGTCCTCTGACTTCCTGATGTACGCTATTCCCTGTGTGCCCACACTTGTCACACACAAAAATGAACAAGCAATACAAGGTTGAGATAAAAACAGTTTGAAAGAGTACTGATATTAGTTAACCCCACTTTTATGGCAAGTTGAACCAAACAATAGCACTTAGTGGTATCTTGTCAACTCCAGGAACATTGCTGAGCTGCCTTAAGGTATAATTTAGCCTTAGTTTTTGGTAAAGAGTAGTAAAGAAAATGAACCATCAGTGAAGTGGCACTAAGTTACCTGCTGTGCTTGCTGGTTTTAACAATTCACACAAGCTAGCATCACCAGGGAAGTTTTAGTGAGAAATTATAAGGATGTCTGTGGGAATTATCTGTATTGTTAACTAAGTCAGAAAACCCAGCTCATTGTGGGCAGCATCATTCCCTAAGCAGGAATCCAGAATACAAGAAAGCTAGCTAAGAAAAGCAAGCAACGATGCTTTTACTCTCTTGACTGGATGTGGTATACTACTGAGTTCCTACCCTGACTTCCCCAAGATGACTTACTGTAACTTGAAATAGCAAGCTAAATAAATTCTTCTTTCATAAGTTGCTTTCTGCCAGGGTATTTTATCACAGCAACAGAAATGGATGTGGATTTATCTGTGGGGTCATCAAAAAAAAAAAGAAAAAAGAAATGGATGTGGAACTTACCAATTGGACCTTACAGTCTTTTTGGTTTTGGAGTTAAGGTCTCATGTAGCCCAGGCTGGCCTTGAACTCCTGGTCTTCATGTCTCTGCCTCCCCAAGGATTACTGGCATGCACCACCACACAAAGCTACAGGTGGTTTTCCATTTGTTTGGTTTGCTTTCCCTGTTAGAATTCCAAAGGTGGTCCATATCTTTAATCCCAGCTGTGAGCTCAAGGTCAGCCTGGCCTACGTAGTAAGTTCCAGGACATAGTCTCAAGCAGGGGAAATGCCGAGACAGGTGTGCTGATGTCACTTTAGAGGGACAGGTGTACCCTGGCAGAGGAGGAAGCAAGGAGAAAAATAAAACAACCAGAGAAGGGTAAGAAAGAGGGCGATGCCAAATCAGACTTCCGAGTAAGACTATCAAGCCGGGAGCAGAAGACTTGGTGAACTTCCCGCTGGACAGGCACGAGCCTGCATGCCAGATGACATGTCTCATGTCTTCTAGAAGGGTGTGTGCGTGACCTCTGGTCAACATCAGTTACTATATGAAGGCTTCATATATGGAGGCAGGCTTTGTGATTGGTAGCAGACAATGGCAAGTCAGGCTAACTGGCATCACCTGACGTGGAAACTTGATGTTCTATATCTTATATCTGGTGAGTCCTGGACGCCTCCAAAGTACCACTCCCTCCTCTTTAACGCACCTTATGTGTCCATGCATTATGAGCTGTTTGGCCATTAAGCCTCTAAGAAGGGACTCTGGGATGGGGCAGGACAGTGAAACCTTCGTTTACATGTGGCTATAGATCTACAGATAGGGAGAAACAGTGATGCTCGCTGTTACCCGCCTTACCTAGGGGTGGGGGAGCACTGTTCACTAAGCTGTTCTAGGCTGGACATTGCATTATATGCGGAAGCTGCTCCCTGGGACACTCCAAACAAGGATCCCTTTGTTGTAACAGTAGATCCTTCCTATAATCAGGCTCCCTTGAACAGGGAGTTATGGAAAGAGGCAGAGGAAACTCACAGGAAGGCAAATTTAGAACTGTAGCTAGGAAGGGCAGCTTCTGTTTCCTTTTGCACACTGGTGTTCTGCCATGGAGACGCTGCAAAGCCCATGGTTCCCTCGGCTGGCCTTTGAACACTTTGTGAATGGGCTCTTTGCTTCCTCACCCACAATACTGTACATCTGATACTTGTCTTCAACCAGCTCAGAGCCAAGTCTTGTACAGGGCCAGTTTTCACACAGCAGAAACTCCTGCATCCCGGGATACTATGGGGACCACAGTGACTCGATATATCCAAGCACGACTGGCTTTCCTCAGCACCGGAGCATATAACTATTAATTTTTTTAAAAGCAATGTTTCACTATGAAGCTCTGGCTGGCACAAAGTATGTGATCCTCCTGCCTCTGTCTCCCCGGTTCTGGGACTGCAGGAGTGAGCACGCTGCCCAGGAGATCCCTGAAGCACCCACCTGCTGGACGGTGGAGCAGTGCCCATGCTCATCGCTGACGCCTGCCTCCCACAGGGCCACATGTGGGCCTGATATCCCTGAGACTCAGGCACACAGTTCACAGCCTGCTGGGCTAGTGGCATGTCTAAGTCAGATACGAAATGCCTTAGCAGGTATCTCCAAGCCCTCCGTCAGGAGCATCAATAGTGACCCCAACCCTGGGGAAACCAAGGCAAGGATTGTGAGCTCAAGGCCAGTGTCTCTATAATTAGCAAGACTGTCCTCCCCCAAAGAGAAACAAGCACCAAAGACCCAAGGATCCCACATCTTAATACAAACTGTTAATGAAAATAAGCTTTATTACATCAAGTAATAAATACAAAGATGCAACAGTTGCAGTCGTTTTCTTCCAGATATTGTGACCGTCTCACAGTAAACACGGAACTGAGATCCACAGTCTCAGGATGGACATTTGCAGGGCGCGTGGCAGATTGGGTAGATTGCTCTTTCTTCTGTATTTATAACTTGTGCATGTTTAAGATTGACTTCAAAGCACTCGGTCATGCAAAGGCTTAAGCAGAGCAGCTCTGTGAAGCAGGGTCTACACTGTCCACAGGCAGGCCAGCTTCCTAAGCAGATGTGCTGTGCTCTGCACTCAAGTCCGCAGAGGCAGGTGAGCTCATGGAAAGGAAGTCACCTGGGGTGAGGCGAATGGCAAGTGTTTCCAAAGGGAGATTTTAAAGGGACACTGGTATTTAGAGGCAAACAATAGCTTGCTGTGAAGTGGCTTCACAAACATCTTTCAAATCAATGCTTGGGAAGAAAAAAAGAGCTGGATGGTTTCTAACTACTTAGAATGCACACCGTCAGTAACTGCAAAATGTCTTCCCAGTCTTCTGGATGTGGGTTCAGAGCTTAATTACCATGGCAGGAAAACCACTGCCATTTTGAACAAAGCCTCTCATCTCCACGGGGTGGCGAGATGGGCCTTCAAACTGGCCAGGGGCTAGGACCTGGCATTACGTTCCGTTTCGGCCAAGCACTCCCGAACCAGGCTTCGGGCATGAATGATGCCTGCAAGAGAAGCAGAGACGGGCATCAACCCATTCACAGAGCAGGAAGAAAACCTGTCGGTTAAACCCCAGTCATGAAGACCATTCTTTTTTTTTTTTTTTTTTTTGGTTTTTTTGAGACAGGGTTTCTCTGTGGCTTTGGAGCCTGTCCTGCTGGAACTAGCTCTGTAGACCAGGCTGGTCTCGAACTCACAGAGATCCACCTGTCTCTGCCTCCCGAGTGCTGGGATTAAAGGCGTGCGCCACCATCGCCCAGCATGAAGCCCATTCTTTTTTTCTTTCTTTCTTTTTTTTTTAAAAACATTTATTTACTTGATTATGTATACAATATTCTGTCTGTGTGTATACCTGCAGGCCAGAAGAGGGCACCAGACCTCATTACAGATGGTTGTGAGCCACCATGTGGTTGCTGGGAATTGAACTCAGGACCTTTGGAAGAGCAGTAAGTGCTCTTAACCGCTGAGCCATCGCTCCAGCCCATGAAGCCCATTCTTGAGGGGAATGGAGGGTCTCTATCCAAACACCTGCACAGGCCAGGCTGCTAAGGAGGCTGTGATGAGAGGTCATTTGAACCCAGGAGTTCAAGGCCAGTAACATCCAGTTCTCTCCTTTTTAAAAAATCACAATGCTATGCCACAATGCTATGCTCACACTGCAATCCTAGTACTCTCAAGGCAGAATCAAGATAACCTCAAATCTTTTCACACTGGTGTGACGTGCTTGTATGAGTTCAGCAGCTGGCTAGGGTGACATGAAGTCTTCCTCATTCTTGTAGGGCCAGCAGCTCCCTCAGGATGTACCCTGCAATAGCCACTTGGCACATCCATATACAATTCAATCCACTGGCCGATCCTTACCTGGCCTAGCTATGATTGGCAAGTCCGACTTCAGTACAGCCTTTTGGCACAGACCAGGGACCTCCAGGTCCAGGCCCTCTCCATTCTCTCCCAGGTTCATTCTGTAATGTTTTCATCAACCAAGTGCCTCCTGGTCATGAATGAACCTACAGCCCTGGTCCTCTGATAACTTCTAAATAGAGCGCCTGTCCCCTCAGCAGCTCTGTCATGAGGTAGCACACTGCTCAGCATCCTTCACACCTCACACCTGATTCCCTTGCTTTCTGTGACATCACTCTCCCTTTTCAGTCACTGAAGAATCTCAAGGGCAGTGGGGACCGTTTGAATTAATGAGCACAGTTTCAAATTTGTAAGATAAAAGGTTCTGGATACACACAGTGTGATGGCTATACAATAATATGAAAGAACTTCAGTTGTTAAGATGTTAAATTATATGTTACATATATTTTGCCACAATTAAAAAAGAAAAAAAAATGGGGCCCGGCAGTGGCGGCGCACACCTTTAATCCCAGCACTTGGGAGGCAGAGCCGGGCAGAGCTCTGTGAGTTCGAAGCCAGCCTGGTCTACAAAGAGAGCTCCAGGACAGCCAGAGCTGTTACTCAAAGAAACCCTGTCTCCAAAAACAAAAACAAAACAAAACAACAAGAAAAAAAAATCAGATGAGCAATGGTGGCTCATGCCTTTAATCCCAGCACTCAGGAGGCAGATATAGGTGGATCTCTGTGAGTTCAAGGCCAGCCTGGTCTACAAAGCAAGTTCCATTACAGTCAGAACTACACAGAGAAACCCTATCGTGAAAAAAAAAAAAAATCAAAAACAAACACAAAAGGAACTCTCAAGCTGCTCCCTATCCTGATCAGAGGAGAGCCTCTGTAGTCACAGCTGCACCCCCCAGCACAGATGGAGAGGCCATAGAGCCTCTCTGACAAGGTATAGGAGTGAGGGGTGACCCCTTCTCAGAAACCCCACGAGCTCCTCAGACCCAACTGCCACACCTGCAACAGCACAAGTGTGCATCACTAACCCACAGGTCAAGGGACTTTCCCTGACCACCTCCAGTATGTCCTCTAGGAAACCTCTCTACCTCCTGGGCTCAAACCATCCTCCTGCCTCAGCCTCCCAAGGAGCTGGGACTACAGGTACCCACCAGCATGCTCGACTTCAGAAGTCTTCAACAGTGACAGGCAACCTTGAGACCCTTAACCACACCCCTCGCTCACCTCGTTTTAGTCTCTCCATGGCGCTCTTGCTCCCTGCGTACGTGGGTCTGATCTCTTTCCCCAACTCTTCAATGATGGCCAGCAGCTCTGCGTATTTACTTTGAGGCACCTGGCTATTTCCAGTTCCCTAGGATCAGAAAACAAAGGTTTGGATGGACGGATCCACCCTGGTGGGCACGCGTGGGTGGAGGGAAAGAGAGCTATAGCCTTGGGATCTCAGGACTGCCCAGCCAGAGTATGTCAGATGGTACAACTCTAATATAGGGCAAGAGACCCTCACCTGCTGTCCCCATCCACACAGGAAGAAAGATCTGGCGTCAAAGTGACAAGTAACAGGGAATACCTGACTCCATGAGGAGAGGGATGTCTCCTAGGAGTCAGGCATCCACAATGAGTGGAAGACAGAGGTCACCACTGGAGGACCTCAGCCATCGCTAAGGACCCAGGATGGGGCTAAAACTTATCAGACACACCACATCCTCCCCACAGACAGTCTCTAACTCCAGGCTACAGCTTAAGCAAGCACCCAGATCAGCGAGGGCCTTGGCTCAGTCCTCTCCTCCTGTCGCAGCTGGACCATGGCAGCCAGGTCTCTGTCCGGGGCCTTGGCCTGTTCCTCTCGCCTCTGTGGCCTCCATTCCCAAGCCTCGCCACCCAGCCTGCAGGCCAGGAGCTCAGCCTCCTGGCACATCCGCCTCCTGGCCTCCCGCTTCTCCCAACGTCGGCGCCGCATGGCCAAGGCATTGCGCTGCCGCTCCAAGCTGCGCCTCAGCCCATCCTCCCGCCGCCTCCGCTTCTTCAGCCTGTCCCGTTCCCGGGCCCTAGCCTCCTTCTCCTCCTGGGATAGGATAGGCTGTCGGGGCATGGCTAGAGGTTGTGCCAAGGAGAGACCTCCATGGCAACCCCAGAACACTGGCTGGGATTTAGTCCACAGAAAGAATTTTCCTGTTGGCAACCAGGGTTGTAAAAAACTTCTATGCAGAGCAGCCAGTTACCCCCTGATCATGACCCTGAGGTCATCCCAATGAACTGATAAGAGATCTGGGTCTTCAAGAGGGTCATGGTCTAGAAAATGACTTGGGACCATACTCATCTCCAGCTCCCAATATGCTGTCCCAGTCTCCTCTGTCACAGCATAGAGGTCCAACACCAGCTGAACCTTACCTGCCCAGGAAACGAGCACCTGGTGGCTGGAGCAGCGGGGTGATCCTTGACCCCTTCCTGTGTCCCCGCATCCCTCAGGTCCCTGGACAGTCCCAGTTGCCCTGCATTCTAATCCATCAAATGAAGAATGGGAGCCAAATCCCAGCAATGGCTAAGGACACGCAGGAGAACATGGGGACTGCTTTGATCCACTTCTGTCCCCTCAATGCCTCCTACCAGCAGTGGAGTGTCCCGGCTGCCCCCAGAGCCCTCCCATCACCCGCACTGCCATACCTGGGTGTAGCCTAGTGATGGTGGCCCATAGTCACTCAGCAGCTGGCGATACTGGGATGTTGCCATACTAGTAGAAGGCGAGTGGACACTTCCTGCAGTAAAGAGGAGGGAGAAGTCAGAGCTATAGCAAAGGGCACTGGGTACTGCAACAGTCCCCCCCCATCTAGGTCCCTACTTGTGAACTTTTGATTTACAGGACAGAGACCTCAGTTCAACCTCTAATGGTCAGAGCCCAGACACCGGTCTAGATGCACGGAAGAAGTATACAAGGGCAGCCACCCCCTGCATACCTCGTACCTCAAAAGACAGCCCTCCCCTGCCCATGCACGTGACCCCAGACACTACTACCAAGACTGAAGCTGGCAGCTGTGTTCAGCCTAATCCTTGCTGACCCCAGCCCAGTCCCCACTCAGAACCAGAGCTACAGCCCATGACTGGCAACTAGCAAGGTTGGCCTAACCTGGGACAGACTTTCTTGTACGCAGCCACCTCTGTGTTCCTATGCACCACCTGTGCTGGACAAACACAAAGGCCTCAAGGCACAGAACCCCAGAGGGAGACAGGTGCCCTGCATGAACACGAAGCAGGGTCTGGAGAGCAGCCTTTGTGCCTCACACAAGCCCCTCAGCCCCTCTGGGCTTCTCATTCCCTCTCCAAAGAAAGAAAAGAACTCCTGACTATCTATGCAAAACGCACACATCATGCACTCTGCACTCCAAAAAGAGGGGCCTAAGACCCCACGTCTGGAATCCAGCCCTTGAGAACCCTACCCAGGTGCACCAGCTAGAACAAAGCAGGGCCCGGAGCCCAGCGCAGATTGCCATCCCCTGGATGCGGAATGAGGAGGCCCCTGGCTGGAGCATGCACACCCATAATGGCAACCAAGTGGCCATTAGGCGGGTAAAGGGTGTCCTTCGAATTACAAACAGCAGTAACCATGGAGAATTTACCTAGTCCTGCTCGGCAGCTGCCCGACCACCGCCCCCAGAGCCAAATTGTCTCTCACACACAGCAGGCTCTGCAGACTTGGCCCCAGGGATGGACAGCTGGTGCCAGGCTGGCCAAGTCACCAGCTGCTCACTTGGTGTGGGCGAGGGGAGGGACAGGAGGAAGGAAGTTCAGGAGCTGGGTTTGCTGGGCAGGCGCTGGGAGGAGCAGTGAATCCCAGGGCCTGGCTGCAGGGTGAGCCACACTGTATGGGAAGTGGCTGCGCAGTAAGCTGGCAACCCCAGCATCTGCCTCCAAGCAGGCAACAGCACAGGAAGCTTTTCCTAGGCAGAGTGTACACCCAGGTTTAGGCACCACGTATGGACGTGGTTCCTGAGCAAAGCATACTAGGGGCATGCCACCCAACTGGAGCGACCCTAGCCTCCTCACCACCACGGCCAATTCCATTTCCCCAGCCTTTAGAGATGGTTCCTTTCCAGGAGGTGAGTTCCAATCCTGCCCACTACATGTCGTCAAGCCCTTTCTGGGCTTAGACAGGCTAGAGGGGTCAATGCTGAAGGGTGGCGTGGGTGAGAGAGGACTCGAGGCCTTTAGAGGACCCTGGCACCACAGTCGGAGTAGAATGCCGGCCGGCGCACCTCTTCTGCTTCCCCATGCTTTTCACCGTTGTCACCTCCCTGTCCCATCATCTCTCCTGGACAGAGTTGGGGGTCTGTCCCAGCAGTGCCACTCCTGGCTGTGGGACCTCTGTCAAGGCCCTTGCGGGCCTCAGTTTCTCGTCTGTTTGAAGCCATATTCCAACAGCAGATTTATCTATCCTACAATCTGATGACGTGGGGTGGGATTAGGGGGCTGAGGGGCAGGCAGAGGAGGACTAAGAAACACCAGTCTACGTGTGGAGGGCCTCAAGCAATACCTCAGAGCTTGGTTTTCCATCCCCCCCCCCCCCAGGAGCGGAGATGAGCCTGAGTCAAACCTGCCTCACATCCAATCAGCCCCCACCCCTGGAGTCGTGGCAGAAGGGTCCTCCACGCCACTCAAGCCCTCTCCTTCCCGAAGACATGCACCTGGGCTGAGGGAGGCCAGGGAGGCGGCTCCACGTCAGCACAGCCGTGTGGAGCATCTCAGACAATGAGCGCAGTGTGCAGAGAGCCGGGAGGGCTTGGCAGAGGCCAGGAAGCTCCTGGGGCCAGGCGCAGCTCCCCGCCCCCACACCAGACAAAGAGCGGCCTGGGCCTGGGGAGCTGGCGGCCTTCCCGCCACTTGGGGCGCCGGGGGTGGGGTGGGGGGGAACGCTCTCGGGCGGGGGAGGCGGGGGCTTTGTCTAACTCCGCCACTGCCACCGCCGGCCAGGCCGCAGCTTGGCAACTCAGTGAGCAGGAGGCAGGGCTGGAGGGCGTGAGGGATGATGACAGGGGAGGCGGAGGAGCCACTGTGAGAGTCCATCTTGGATGCAGATGGCAGGGGAGAGCAGGGCTTTCTGCGAAGTAATACCGGCAGGCGGGCGGGCCCCCACCAAAATGCCGGCCACCTGGAGACCCCGGTACGCCTCCTGCCATGCCCTATTAGAAAAGGAACTTGAGCTGACTACAGGTGCCAGCAAGCCCAGAACAGGGCTTCAAAGTCCCGGGGGCTGCCTGCCGCTGGGACCCACAACCCCAAAAGGTCCCAGCTGAAGACCCCGGGGCAGCTCTCCCAGATCAGGCTGTCTCTGGCTTCCCACAGCCTGGCAATGCAACCCACTGCCCTTCCATCCTAGACACTGGCCAAAGAGACTGGAGACAAAAATCCTACCTGCCAACAAAGCCGGTCACTCGGGGTAGGGGGTGCGGGGGGAATGAAACCATTTGAGGGGAAACAGTGGCTGCGTGCTTTGGGGGGCTCTGCACCCACGTGGGAGCGTTTCAACTCTCCCAAGCTGGCACCCTAAATCTCAACCTTTTCCAAACCCCAAAGAGCAGTGTCTAAGAAGTTTAAACCACATGGCCAAGGCTTTTCGAGGTCCCTTAGGGGATTTTTGGAATTCTGGGCTCAACATTTCAACACAAGACCCCCCAGGTTGAAAGTGCCAACATGGGTGGTACGTTTGGTACACAGCGATCATAACCAACTCAGACCCCAACTGTCCCAGGGGGCCTTAGCTCTCCTGATCCCCCTCCCGACCTCGTGTCTGTTTTGGGGAGTGGTCTGCTCACAGCCAAATGTCTAGGGGGTACTGAGAGGACACAAAGCTAGGCGTCTACAAATGTCCCCGGGGCTAGCCCCTGGGCACTACGGAAAGCTGCCTAGGAACTTCGCACAGGAGTTTCCCGGCGGCGCCCAGCCCCGGCGGGGAAGGGACACTGGGTCCCCCGGGCTTTTGCGGCGCGGTCCTCCGGGACCCACGTGGGGACTCCGGGATGGAGACCCGCGGGACCCAGCACGCCGCACGCAGGGCCCACGAGGCCCCGGCACTTCAACTTCTTCCCAGGGACTCCCGAGGGCCTGGGGAGCGGGAGCCGCTCCCGCCCCCGGGCCACCCGCCGCCCACGACCCCGGCCAGGCTCCCTCCCGGCCCGCGGCCGTCCGGCCTTCTCCCGCCGCCCCGCACGCGGCCCGGCCCTGGCCTGTCCCGCTCCACCGACCCTCGGCGCCCCGCGCCTCGCTCCCCGCGCAGCCCGGCCGCTCCCGCCTCCCGCCGGCAGGGGCCCTCGCCGAGCCGCCCAAAAATCGTCAGGGAGAGGGGGGAAAAAAAAAGAGCTGAGGAAAAAGCCTTCTTCGCCCGGCCGCCCGCGCCCTCGCTTCCCCGCCATCCCCGGCCGCTCCGCCACTCGCACCCGGGCCCGGGCCGCAGCCCCGCCGAGCGCCGGGCGCACCGCGAACTTTGGCGGCGCGGGCGGCGGAATCATGGCGGCGGGGCGGCTGAGACGGCGGCGTCCGAGCCGCCCCGGCCCGGGACATCACCCCCCCTCCACACATACACACCCTCGGCGAGCTCGCCGCCTAGGGCACCGCGCGAGTCGGGGAGCCCCGGGCCGCGGTGGGCAGCACGAGCCCCCAACTTGGCGGCACTTAGGGCGCGCGCGGCCCGCGCTCACTCACCGGCGTTGAGGGAGGCGGCGGGCATGTGCGCGGTCAAGTTCGGCTTGTACGACATCCCCGCGGGCGGCGGGCGCGCCGGGCAGAGCCGGGCCAGGCCGCGAGCGCGGCGGCGAGGCCGACGCCGAGGCCGAGGCCCGGGCCGAGCGGCCTCGCGTCCCCGCGCCCGTCCGAGCGCCCAGCGGGCGCCCGCGCACTTTTTGTTGTCGCCGGCTCGGGCCGCGCCGGCAAATATGGCCGTCCCTCACCCTGCCGCCGCCGCAGTAGATCACCCATCCATCGGGCGCGCGGCGCAGGGGCGGCCGCAAACTTTGAGCCCAGCCGGTGCTGGGCCCGGCCCGGACCGGGAGGGGGCGGCGGGCGTCGAGGGGCGGCTCCTCCCGCGGCCGCGCCCCGCGCTGCGCCGCCGCCCGCAACTTGCCAAAGTTTGGGGGGCTGCGGTCCCTGCGGCGCCCCCGCCGCGCCCCGGCCTCCCGCGCGCCGCTCATTGGCCCGCTCCTTCCTCTTTCTTAAACAGCCAGGCAGGATGGAAGAAGTACTTTTTTTCCTGTGTCTCTTGACTGTGGGGGAGGGATGGAAAATTACCTGGAGAAAATGGTGGCGATTGGGGTTTTTTGTTTTTCGGTGATTTTTTTTTTTTGGTTGTGGTTTTTTTTTTTTTTAAATGCACGTAGATCATTCCAGATGCCCTCGTCTGGCTCTGTCCCAGAATTAGAATAACCCATTCTTGACATTTATTTCGAGAAAAAAAAAATGTCACGTCTCTGCCTGAATTAAGTAAGTGGGCTTTTTTTTTTTTTAACCCTTGGGAACCCAAGATTCCTTTGAGACTGACAAAAGCTGGATGGAGACGCCTCCGCCTCAGCAAATTCGCCCTCGCATCCACAGCATTTGGCGCACGAACTCTTTGGAATATTTCGAGGGAGCACCTACTGTGTGCCAGACGCGGTTCTAGATGCTAAGGATGCAAGAATGAACTTGGCAAAGTTTCGACTCCCCGGAGTTTACACTCCATTTTTTGGACCTCCTCTTCCCCGCCCCATACACGCCCCCACCCATCCTAGGAACTGACTGAAACGTCATCAGCAAACGTATTTGGGATCTGATGAATAACCTTCCGAAGGTACTATATTTTGGAGTTCTGCCTGAATAGTAATGCTCATCAAATTACATAAAACGCCCACCCGTTTTTGTTGTTTTTAATCGCCATGGTTTGCAGGTTGCTTGGGGATTTTTGTTTCTTATTTTTTTAATTAGTCATATTTAGACATGATCTGTGAACCTGGTGACGACGGCGTCAGCTTCTCCGCTAGAGAAAAAAAGGAACCACCACCAGGGTCTTACGTTCCCTCCCTCCTTTGGGGACTAAAGGTGCAGGGGAAGAGACCGCCTCTTCTCCTACCCCCTCTCCGCCAGCACCCCTGCCATCATCCTTAGGATTGCTTTGGCAGACGCTTCTTGGTGACATTTTATCGTATAAAGAAATGAATGCTACCCGTTCTCTACAATGGCTGATAAAAATATAAGGCGAGCCAAATATATAATTTTGAATGTTTTGTAGTCAATTTTTGAAAGCAGAACGTGGCATAAAATTAATTCTAATAATGTATTTAAACACAACAGGATCCAGAACAGGACAATTCCAATTAATAATGAATGAATACATAGAAATTCATCAGTAAGATCCTTCACTTATTTTTTAACAGGATCTGACAATGCATCCATGGCTAGCTTGTTATGTAAACTACGCTGGCCTGGAGCTCACAAAGTTCCACCTGCCCCTACCTCCAGAGAGCTGGAATTAAAGGCCTGCGACATAATGCCTAGCCTGGTTTGGTTGTTTTTATTTGTTTGTTATGTTGCCCTGGATAGCCTGAAACTTCTAGGCTCTGGTAGTCTTCCTATTTCAAATTCCCAAGTAGTTGAAACAGCCAGCATGTATCAAAGTACCAAATATCATTTGCCTGACTTTTTTTTCCCTCATGTTTGCCTGGAACTTGAAGCAATCCCCCTGCCTCAGTCACTCCACTCAGAGTCATAGTCTCATGTTCTTTCATTCAAATACACAAAAAGAAGTTTTTTTTTTTTAAGTATGTTTTCTTTGGCAGTGTTGGGATTAAACCCAGAGCTTCACAGGTGCTCCTACATTGAACTACACCACCCCAACCTCACACTTTGCTGGTTTTCTTCTGTTTATTTATTTTTTTAATTTTACTTATTTATTTTATATACATTGGTGCCTTGCTTACATGTCTGTCTGAGGGTGTTGAATTCCCTGTAACTGGAGCTACAGTTTTGAGCTGCCCTGTGGGTGCCAAGAATTGAACTAGAGAATTAAGAGGTTGCTCTGAACCTCTGAGTCATCTCTCTAGCCCCTGTTTGTTTATTTTTAATTTTTGAAACAGAGTGTAATGTACTCCGGGATGTCCTCCAGCTCAGGTGAATGGCTGAAAATGACCCTGAACTTTGGGATCTTCCTGAGTGTTGGAATCACAAATGTGTACCACCACATGATCCTGGGGATGGAACGCAAGGCACCAGGCATGTTAGACAAGCTTTTCTGAGCCACATCCTTAGATCCTGAGATGTACGCTTTGTGGCTCAGATGGAAAGGGATCTTGGCAGTCAGGAGCCAAGGAATACTGGGTACTACAGCATGGGTGGAAGAGTTTTCTGGCTGTCCGGGGACAGGGAATAGGGAAGGTCACAGCTTACAGCCCTGCTCTAAGGAAAGGCTTCCCCAGTGTAACAGCTCTCTGCTCTGGCAGGAAAGAGCTTCTCCTGCAACATTGTCACAGCTCCATGTACTAGGGAGGCTCCCCCAGTGAAAGTATCACAGCCCTGCTCTGCTCCCTCCTTGCTAGGACAAAGGTCTTCACTCAAACCTCATTCAAGAACTTTATAGGGAGGGAAGAATCCAGGCGAACAGGTCCGGGTCTTATACAGGGCTTCTTAGGAGCGGAGTTTTTCCAGGGAGAAGATCTTCAGAGTGGGAATTGGTCAGATTTCAGTCCGTTGATCAGATTGACTAGATCTACTCAGGAATTGCTTGATTTTCTGCTTAGTTGACAAATCAGGGGCAGATTTTGCTCTGGTTTCAGGGCCAAAGTGTGTTTCCTTCACTGGCTTTTTTTTTTTTTTTTTTAGCTTTTTGACTCTAGTTTTGGGGCCAGGGCATTTCTTTCAATGGTTTTGATTCTAGGGCTAAAGTGGTTTTTTTTGGCACTGGTTTTCAGGGTCAGGGTTAGGATTCTTTGGTTCTGGGTTCAGGTCTAAAGCATTTCTTTCACTGGCTTAGGTGACAGAGCCAGGGTGTGTTTCTTTCACTGGCTCAGGTCTGAGCCAGGGTCTATTTCTTTCACTGGCTCTGGTTTCAGAGCCAGAGTCGGTTTCTTTGGCTGGCCCCTTTCCCCTACAATATAATGTGCCTGCCAGCGCATAAACCTACAGAGACCAGCAGAGGACAGTGGGGATCTTGCTTTGTCCCAGTCCTTACTCCTTTACTGACTCTCTCCTTGGGCTCACCTTTATAATAGGCTGGCTAGCCATCTAGCTTTGGGATCCACTTGTTTCTGCTTCCCAGTGCTGGAGATCCAAGCACATATGCACACAGGAAGCTTTGACCTGGTGGTGGAGATCAAACTCTGGCTCTTCTGGTGAACTCCTACCCACAGAGCCCTCTACTAAACTGCTTAGGGTTGTTGAGTTGGTGTCTTTGTTTTATTTTTTTGCTTATTTGTACAGGATTTCTCTGTATAGCCCCTGTCTGTCCTGGAAGTACCTCTGCAGGCCAGACTGACCTCAAACTCACAGAGATCCGCCTGCCTCTGCCTCCTGAGTGCTGGGACTAAAGGTGTGTGTCACTGTTGTCTAGCTTCTTTTCCTCTTTGTGAGGCATGGTCTCATCAGATGGCCCTAGCTGACCTAGAACTTGCTATATAGCCCAGGCTATGACCCTAGCCGACCTAGAACTTGCTATATAGTCCAGGCTATGGCCCTAGCCGACCTAGAACTTGCTATATAGCCCAGGCTATGGCCCTAGCTGACCTAGAACTCGCTATATAGCCCAGGCTGTGGCCCTAGCTGACCTAGAACTCCCTATATAGCCCAGGCTATGGCCCTAGCTGACCTAGAACTTGCTATATAGCCCAGGCTATGGCCCTAGCTGACCTAGAACTTGCTATATAGCCCAGGCTATGGCCCTAGTCGACCTAGAACTTGCTATATAGCCCAGGCTGTGGCCCTAGCTGACCTAGAACTCCCTATATAGCCCAGGCTATGGCCCTAGCTGAACTAGAACTTGCTATATAGCCCAGGCTGTCCTTGAACTTATGTCAGTCCTCCTGCTTCCATCTCCTAAATGATGAGGCTGCAGCACCTAGCTCAGCTATTTTTTTTTAATATTTATTTATTATGTATACAATTTTCTGTGTGTGTGTATGCCTGAAGGCCAGAAGAGGGCACCAGACCTCTTTACAGATGGTTGTGAGCCACCATGTGGTTGCTGGGAATCGAACTCGGGTCCTTTGGAAGAGCAGGCAATGCTCTTAACCACTGAGCCATCTCTGCAGCCCTAGCTCAGCTATTTCATTTTATTGTGAGGCATAATTTTTTTTGCAGTTTTTGTGGTTTTATTTAAACACAAATAAAACATGCACGCAAGCAATCTACTCATTCTCTTCGCTGCGCAGCCTGGCGTTGGGACTGGTGACTCTGAGGGCCGCTGTGCCGCTCTTTCTGCAGTTGGGACTGGTGACTCTGAGGGCCGCTGTGCCGCTCTTTCTGCAATGGCCTTTCAGTTCTTGGAGGAAACATTGTGAGCGATCTCAACACAGTAAGACTTGTACACATCAGCAGCACCTCCAGCTCCTTGATGCTGTGGACCAGAAACTTCCGGAAGCCGCTAGGCAGCATCTGCTTGGTTTTCTTGTTCCTCCTGTGACCAATGCTGTACATTAGGATCTGGCCCTTGAATCTTCTCTGCACCCTGTTGTCAATACCTCTGGGTTTCTGCCAGTTTCACTTACTTTTGACATATCAGTCCAACTAGTGCCGGATGAACTTCTTGGCCATCTTTGTGATATCTTGGGCTTCACCAGAGGCCAGAGGGCAGCCACGATGCTGCAGAAGAGGTGGCAGCCACCTCACAGGTAGCACCGAGGAAAAAGCAAGGCATAATTTTTATCTTAGTATAAATTA